ATCTCCGGCGAACTCAAATATTGTAAAACTTCCTCTGTTTCTCTCTCTGCTATTTCCACGGACGTGTTTTGGTTTTATTTGTTTTTAAAACCCTAAACAGACGTCTACCATATATATATAAAGTTATACCAAATCCTAAATTAATTCAAGCCCCAACTGAAATCCTAACTGGCCCAAAGAAACTTAATTAAAAACTTACATCGGCTACAAACGTGAAATCTAAAACAAAACCCTAATTAAATACAATTAAATCACGAAAATTAACAATTAAATTAAAACAACTAAACCATTATATTAAATTAAATTAATTCAATTAAAACAGCTAAATTAAACCACTTAAACAAAAATAAAGAATTACATACAACAATAAAAACAAGTCATAATTTAAGTAATAAATATTTAAACACGTCACACAATTTAAACAAGTAACAAATATGTCAAATAAACAATTAAATAATTGAAAATTTCATTAAAAAAATAAATTAAATACCAGGACTATCCTTTTGAAATTAGGGGTATTACAGTACTCACTTTACACATTTCCATAGGGATAATTGGAAGTAGAATGTAAGACACTAGAATAAGTCATGCATGATTCATTAGAATTATGATGATGATGACTAGGGGAAGAAGACACTTGATTCACCGAACTTTGGTTGATCAAAAATTGATCAAACCTTTGAGATAAAGACTTGATTTCGGCGGCTATGTCATTGGAGTTGTCAACTTAGTACAAGCTGACATTCTTCCTTCCACCTAGATTTCTACAGATGACAAAGATCGATGCATTGAATTCTCACTCATGCTCTCATATAGTTGCCAAATATCATTTTCATGCTTATCAAGATAAGAACCACCCATGGATACATCAACCATACCCTTGTGACTATCCGGTAAACTTTCAAAGAAGTATTGAACTAATTGCCACTTAGGAATGTTATGATGTGGACACTTCCTAAGCAAGTCATTAAATCTTTTCCATGCCTCATGAAATATTTCCCCTTCCCCTTGAGAAAATTCTCTAATTGAAGTTCTCATTGCATTGGTTTTTGACACCGGATAGTACTTTTTCAAGAACTCTTGTTGCATTTCTGCCCAAGAAGTTATCGAAAAAGGCCTAAGATTGTTGAACCAATATTTTGACGTGTCTTTAAGGGTGAAAGGAAAAAGTTTTAATCTCAAAACTTCTTTCGGCATATCCGTGTATTTCACGGTGCAACACACTTCAAGAAACTCATCAAAATGTTTGTAAGAGTCTTCACTTGGAAGTCCATGGTAGTTGGGAAGCATTTGAATAGTTTGTGGTTTAATTTCATAGTGATGTGCTCTAAATTGGGGCTGTTGAATGAATGTAGGTGCATTATATTCATTTGGCACATAATGATCACGCAAAGCAAGAAGAGGATTCACAACCGGTGGCACTACATAAGCACCTTGATTGCCTTGAATAATGGGAGGTTGTGGAGCAAAAATTGGCCGAGGCATTCCCAATGGAACATGGCCTTATTGTTATGGTGGAATGAAAGGTCTTAGCATGCCTAATGATACTTGAATATTTTCATGTTAGTGCACATTAGGGTGCAGGATACTTTGTTGGTCTATGTGACCAAGGACCTCCACATGGTCCTCATTGATGTATTCCATTGATCGAATGGAATGACTAGAATTACCCCTTCCTTTAGAATTACGGACAATGGACTCAAGATTCAAATTAAATGGGACAATAGTAGGATTTAACGACCTACGACCATGCATGCACAAATAAAACAAAAACAAACATCAAGCAAGTAGCAATCACTTCTCCTTCACAACAAATCAATAATCAACAATCCTCCACATACGATGATCTCATACTCCCATGCTTTGAACAATATGTAAGAAAATTAAATTGCCTCCACGCGGGCCGACGATTTAAATAGAGAAAAAGTTTAGAAGATCTCACAAAGGGTCCTTAAGCAACTTCAATTTGTTTTTCAATTTTTTCTTTGTCTTGCTTTATTTATTTATTTATTTATTTGAGCTTTTTATACTCTTGCTTGGCTTGCTTCTTTTGGATTTCCCTTTTGCTTCACCTTCTTGGCTCAATTCACCTAACCAATCAAGAACAAACACAATAAGTAACAAAAATAAAAATAAAAACAAGATCAAAAGAGTACTAATTCCTAATTAATTTCCAAAACACGATGGTGCCAATCCCTGGCAACGGTGCCAAAACTTGGTGTGTCGTGTCGTCCCAATGTACCAAATTGCATGCAAAAGTGTGTAGTGTGGCCAAGTTTAAATTTAGAAATTGCCATTACCACTTCTAACTAAAAATATAGCAAGAGTAAGTAGGGATCGTCCCAAGGGAAAGGAGGTGTGTTTGTACTTAGAAATTAATGTCGGATTAGTAAGTCAAATGATCAAAAGAGGGGTTTGATTTAATTAAACTAATTCCAATTAAAAACAATACAAGTAAATAGCAAACTAGAAAATACAGGAAAGATCAATGAGAGAAAAATCTTGGGGCATAAAGTCACCACTAAGCTTCACTTTATCAAATACTAGCAATTGTACATTAATGGAAAATTTTAAGTTGTAACTTGGATGTGTATGACATCAATTGAAACTAAACATGGATAGCAAATAAGTATAGATTATCTAGCCAATTTAAATGAATAGCACAACTTATCAAATGAGACCAATAACCATTCAATTAACCCCACAATTGATGCACATACGAGGAATGTACTCTTTGCATTCATAAGTATAGAACATAAATAAACAAGAATAGATTGTCCGCCTATCTAAGAAATTAAAACAATTATACTACATCTAGGCTAGAGACATGAAAATTAAACTAATTAAACTAAAAGTGTGGTACAATCCATCAAGAAACAAGTGTGAACTATCAAATAAATCACAAGAGTATTTAATTATGTACTATGTTTTGGCCATCACTAGATTAACATCATCAATACACATAGACATGCATTAATTTCATTAAATCTAGAGAAAAGCACATGACCATCCATTCTAGCATACATAGACATATGGATATAAATAAATGATCAATTGAAAGCATTAATCCATATAAATCAAGTAGAAATCATAAGATCTATATTAATTTAAGATCAAAACATCTATTACAACTAAAATCCCCAAAAATACACAAAAGTTAGGTTTGAGAAACAAGCCTAGGGGCTATCTCTAGCCCCAAGAGAAGGATTTAGCCACTCATTGTAGTGGTCATGAAACCCTCAAGGGCTAGCTTGGAGGTTGGCATCATCATGATCTTCATCCTTACTTTCTTCCCAAAAACCCTAGTTCTAGAGAGGAAAATATGTATTTCTATAATTGGTAACATCTCTATCTATCTATGATAGTATGATACAATAATATTCAATAAATCAATTACACAGTCCTTTGAGTAAGGATCAAGTCAGAATAATAGCCTATGATTGGAGGAAATTCGTAGCTACACAAGTTAGGTAGGAATCGGTGCGCTCGGGAATTAGGCAGCTCATTGCTAGCAGCATTTTCGATCGATCGAAGATTCTCGATCGATCCAACACTTATCTTTGATCGATCGAAGATGACGTGGCTCGAAAATATCTTATTTGGCCTTATCCACTTGGCCAAGCTGGCAACACCTCATTTCGATTGATTGTAGACCTCTTCGATCGATCCGGATTTCCTTCGATCGATCAAAGCTCCTCTGGTGCATTTTTCTTGGCTTCTTTCCAACTTTGCTCCTTAGCTCCAAAATTGAGCTAAATGGCTTTTGTTAGCCTATTTGAACTTTATTAACCTAAAATAGGCAAAAACACAAATACGTATCTAAGATATGAAAGTAAGATAAATGAATGGACTAAAACACCCTAGCTTAGGTGCTAAAATGTGTCACATTCGAGCACTTATCAATCGATATCATCGGCAACAAAGGCAAACCATACAGGAAGCTTGTTAACCACCAAATTTTCTTGATACATCTTCCCTGACAACCAAGACGGCAACGATTGATAATTATCCCACAAAGGGATTTGAGAATTAAATACTTGGCCTAAAGAATTCCAGTAACGAGCAAGGGTTTCCTTGAAAGAATTATTCAGAGGGCTCCCAAAAGTGAACGCATTATGGCTATGAACAAGCAGCAAAGAGACCGTGAAACGCCAAATTGGATGAACCTCATCCTCGGCAAGGCTGAAATTAACGGTGCCATCGTGATTATGGCGGGGATGTCGCAGCCACACCAAGACCCAACATAGAGATGTGAGAATACCCCGGGAAATCAATAGCGAAGGCATCAAGCACAAACCCACCAAAGGAAAAGTAGCGGCAAAACCCACCCAAGAGACCAAGGTTACCGGTGGAACCTCATCGTCAACAACGGATGGACCCAAGGAAACCCAATCAAACACCGAGACTAAACAAATACCAACACAACACATATATAAAAGTAGAACTAAAAATGAAACAACTAACACAATACCGAGATCAAAGGGAAAGAGCGACACAAAAAAGCCAGTCTTTTGGTCGCCGGCCAAAACACTTGCTCCAACAGCCCGCCAGAGACAGGAAGCCATCCTAGCGAACCACTCACAGAAATGAGTGACTTGAGATTGCAAGGAAACCATCCCGTGTACTATGATATCGGAGCAAAAACCCCAACTCTGATGAACAGAGAGACTACTATAGGGAAAGAGCAGAGAGATACACAAGTCTACTTTTTTTATTTTTGAGTTTGACCAAGTTTAAATGACACGTATAATTTACAGGTGATCACCTCTGATAAGTGATCAATCTAAACGGAAGTTGCTAGTCAAATCCGTCAATAGGTTGAGTTGACTAGCATTTGAAATGGATGAGGATACCCTTGAGGATGTGTGGTTAAGATTTCATTTCTTATTGTTGGACAGAATTCATCACTGGTTTTGAAATCTTAAAATTAGGCATGAATGAAATCTTCACCCTACAAAATAAAGTAGATATATGAGTTAAATGAGTGGTAAAATTAGTTTTAACAAATATTGAATAAGGAATATTATATGAACAACATTGAAATTTATGAGCCTAACCTTGGAATGATTGATAAAATCCATAATAAATAAATAGTGGACACATTGCGAAAAAATAATAATAATAAAAAATAATAAAATAGTAAGACCAAAACATCTCTATGCATGCATGAAAACCTTATAAATGATGGGAGTTGAATGATTAACAAGTTTATTTAGTACAATTACAGGAATAATTTTTTCTTCCCTTAGTTTTTGCCAAAGGGTTTCTTCTTCGCCGTTCTTCGTGATCTGCAAAAGGGGTTTCATTACTTTACATTTGTCTTGACAAATTGCTCAGGTTTTGTTTTCATCTCTTGTTTTAGACAAGTTCGGTGGGTTTTTTTTTTGGGGATTTGCTGTTGGATCGGCGTCCATGGAAGATGACCTAGGATCTCAGTTAGAGTTCTGTAAACTCTCGGCTGAGGAGGAAATTGAGGTGGTTGTAACGGATGATGCCGCGATACGAGAGTCCTACTGGTGTGCTCATAGTTTAGCCGACCAGTTGTTTTCCGAGAAACCCTTGAAGCTTTTTGGGATGCGCAAGGTGCTTAGTGAAGCCTGGGATTGTGAGGGTTTATAGATGTATCAGATCAAGGATTTAATGTTTCAATTTGTTATTCCCAGTGAAGATGATTGTGAGCGGATCTTGCGACATTGCCCATGGACTTTTGATGGGGATCTGATTTCTGTTCAGCGTTGGTCACCAGATTTTGATTTTTCGGCGGTACAGGGTTACAAATGTTCCTCTCCAGTTAGCCACGGAAGATATGGCTAGAGATATTGGCTCTTCCTTTCTGTCATGTGAAACAGTTGAAGTTTGGGATCTCAATCTCAACGGTGGCCTCTATCTCCGAATCAGAGTAGGAGTGGATATCTCTAAACCGTTTCGGCGAGGAGTCAAAATTCGGCATGGTGCAACGGGCAAGTGGATGAAATTTCACTATGAAAGATTACTATCTCTTTGCTATAATTGTGGTAGGTTTGGTCATGGAATCAGGTCTTGTCCTCGCAAGGTGGAAGAGCCAATTGATGAACACCAATTCAGTGTTTGGAAGCCTCTGGTAAAATGGGTAAGCCTAATAAGTTTCAGCGTTCTACAAGTTCTACAGGCGGGACACCGTCATCTAATTCCGAGTCTACTGTTCTGATTTCTCTGGGGATCGTTTTTCCATCGGTGACGCTAGTAGTGGTAACGGCGGACAGGTTAACTTTTTTTCCTCTGGTCATGTGCAAGGGGTGATGATGGAAGATGCCAGCTGTCCTCCCATACAGTGCCCTCCACCCTTCTCTCTGGGGCCGGAAGGGCCTACTGCGTGCTCCAGGTATGTGACCTCAGATGAGTCCTTTTTGCAGTTGAGAGGGACTTCAGCATCTTTACCTATGGCGGGGAGTAAGGGAGCCGATCAACCTAGCTTTGGAGCGGGCGTTGGGCCTATTTTTTTCAGCCCATCTCGGCCTGCTATCCATCTTAATCAATCAGTCCAACTGGATCACCCCACTTCATCTCTTAATGGTCTAGCCCAACCAGTCGATCTAAGAATGTTAGCTTTTAATTGTGTGGAGCAGCTTATGTATCCCGTTTCTGCCCAATTACACCCAATTATGGTTCCACCTTCTTCTTGTACGATTTCCCCTTCTTTTCCTCTATTGATGCTGCCGAGTCCCCCATCGTGGAAAAAACAAAGCCAGAGCTAAGTAAGCGTCCCAAATAGCAGAACCTCTAGGAAGCTCGAAGAAAAAGCTTGATTCTATAGTGCCCCTTTCTCAGTCTGCTCCAAAAAGGACAAAGGCTGTGATTTCATAGCAGAACCTCTAGGAAGCTCGAAGAAAAAGCTTGATTCTACAGTGCCCCTTTCTCAGTCTGCTCCAAAAAGGACAAAGGCCGTGATTTCTGATGCACATTGCAATTCGGTGGTGGTAGCCAGTCATACATGGCCCCAACCCCCTCAATGAGGGTTTTAGTGTGGAATTGTCAGGGTTTGGGGAACCCCCTGAAAGTTTCCTATTGAGGAGGTTAGTATCCATCTATTCCCCCCCTTTAATTTTTCTGTCGGAAACAAAGAACATAGGCGATCGTGTAGAAACAGTTACAAAGTTACTCGGTTCGTATGAATCCTTCGTGGTTCCATCTACTCGTAAGGCCAGCGGTGTTGCTATCTTATTCTCTAAGGAATGGAACATTTCTGTCATTGATTTCTCGGAATTCCAAATTACATGCAAAATCATAGGCGGTCGAGGCAATGATCTTTGGTATTTCACAGAGGTATGCAGTTCCTGTTCAGAGAGGGATCGGGCTCTCCAATAGAGGTATATCCATAGCCTCATATTTCAGTTAGGCCCTCGTTGGCTCCTTATAGGTGATTTCAACGCCTTGCTCTACCGGGATGAGAAAAGAGGAGGTAGGCCTAAAGCTAGTTGGATGCTTAAGGAATTCAAACAGTTCATTGATGATTGTTGTCTGATGGATCTTTAGTTTAAAGGTTCCCATTCATATGGCATAATAAGAGAGATTCGGGTAAGCTTATTTTGGCTCACCTTGACAGAGCTTTGTGTTTGGCTCAATGCCCCAATCCTTTCCAAGGTGCATGCTACATCACCTCTCAATTAATGGCTCAGATCATATAGCCATCATCTTGTGTCTCAACGATTCCATCTCTCACTCTAGACAAGATTTCTTTTTTGATACTCGGTGGGTCAAGGAGGCTGAGTTTAAACCGATTATTGAAAAATCTTAGGCTGCCCTGGGTACTGGTCCTCCTCTGTCAGGAATTCCTCTCAAATTATCTAAGTGCCAATCCGATCTCAAGGCTTGGAGACGAGGTAAATGTAACAGTGCCTTGACCAAAATTAAATCCATTGAAGCTCAGTTGAAATTTATCAAAAGAACAGATTGGTGAGTTTGATAAAGCTAAATGTTGTAGACTTGAGCTGGAATTAAGCAATGCTTGATACGAGGAAGAGACGTTTTGGCTTTAAAAATCTAGAATTTCTTGGCTTACTCATGGTGATAAGAATGCCAAGTTTTTTCACCGCAAAACACAAATTGGGCAGCAAAAGAATGAGATTATTGGCTTGGAAGACTCTGGGGGTAATTGGTGTGATTCCAGAGACAACATCCGTAAAGTTGCAGAAGATCACTTTCATTCTCTTTTTTTTGTCTTCTCCGGACTAGGAGGACTCAACTTTTTGGCATAGTATCAAGCCAAATGTGACACCAGAGATGAATGAAGAGCTTTTAAAGGAGGGGTCTGTGGAGGAACTCCGACTGGCTCTAGCGAGCATGGGTTCATTCAAGGCTCCGGGGCCTGATGGTTTTACCCCTCTTTTCTTCCAATCCAACTTGGATATTTTAAAGCTTGATTTGCTACGAGGTTTCAATTCATTCATTTTGGATGGCTTTCTTCCCCATCAGTCTCAATGCGACTAACATTGTTCTCATTCCCAAGGTGAGATATCCCACTCTAACGTCAAATTTTAGACCCATCTCTCTTTGTAATGTGGCTTACAAATTATACTCCAAGACATTGGCCAACCGTCTTAAACCTTTCCTTCCTTTTCTCATCAGTACCTCCCAAAGTACATTTGTTCCTCAACATCTCATCCATGACAATATCTTACTAGCTCATAATCTCTTCCATGTTCTCAAATTTAAAAAGAGAGGAGAATCTTGTTTTATGGCTCTCAAGTTGGATATGGCAAAGGCGTACGACAGAGTTAGCTGGTTATTTGTGGGTAAGTTTATGCGACATCTGGGTTTTAATCAAAGATAGGTTCAGATTATTATGGAATGCATAAGTATGGTCTCTTTTTCGGTGCTGTTGAATGGGGAAAGGGGCTACAGTTTTTCTCCTTTTCTCAGTCTTCGGTAGGGAGATCCGCTTTCTCCTAACCTATTTCTTTTTTGCACAGAAGGTCTCTCCCTATTATTTAAGGAGTTTAGTAAGCATAAGAAATTACAGAGGCTACGTATGGCTAGAGGTTGCCCGCCCATTTCCCATCTTCTTTTTGCCGGTGATGCACTTCTTTTCTGCAAAGCAACTGATCCTGAAGTTCGAAGAGTTAAAGCCATTATGGATAGGTACACTACTCTTACTGGTCAACAGGTTAACTTTGACAAATCTTGTGCATATTTCTCTCCTAATCGACAAATTCTCAGTATTCACAATGTCGATTGGCATAATCAGTACCTCGGCCTTCCATCATTTTTTGGTAAATCCAAAGTGACGTCTCTTAATTTTATTTCAACTCGTGTTTCGTCCAAAGTGAAAACCATCAAAGGGAAATTATTATCCAAAGTAGGTAGAGAAGTCATGCTGCAGGCTGTGCTTTCTGCTCTTCCTACTTATGTGCATATTTCTCTCCTAACACCATTTTACAGCGCAGAGTTATTTATCGACAAATTCTCAGTATTCACAATGTCGATTGGCATAATCAGTACCTCGGCCTTCCATCATTTTTTGGTAAATCCAAAGTGACGTCTCTTAATTTTATTTCTGCTCATGTTTCGTCCAAAGTGAAAACCATCAAAGGGAGATTATTATCCAAAGCAGGTAGAGAAGTCATGCTACAGGCTGTGCTTTCTGCTCTTCCTACTTATGCTATGCAATGTCTTAAGTTGCCAAAGAAAAATTGTAAGGTTCTGTCTAGTCAACTTCTCAACTTTTAGTGGAGCGGGGAAGAAATATCCAATAAGATAAAATGGATTAGTTAGGATTCTCTTTGTACCTCGAAAGTTTCTGGTGGCCTGGGTTTTAAGAATATTGAGGGCCTTGAGGCTTTTAATTTGGCTTTACTGTCCAAGATGGCTTGGCGTATGGAAAAGGGCGATGATTCTCTCTTGTTCAAAGCTTTCAAGAAGAAATACTTTAATTCATGCAATTTTGTGGATGCTCCAAGTAAAGCTAAGGCATCATGGGCCTGGAGGGGGATTTTTTTCGCCAAAGGAAATTATCAAACAAGGCATGAAATGGCATATTAGAGACGGATTGCAGGTTAATTGTTGGAAAGATAATTGGTTTCCCGGCCCTTCAAACTTCTGAGTTTCCTCTCATCAGTGGGACACTCCTTTCTCCACTGTGGCTGATCTACTTTCTCATTCGCCCAACCAATGGAACACTTCTTTGGTGCATCAATTTTTTAATCCGCGGGATCGCGACCTTATTCTTGAGATTCCTGTTAGTTTGATGGGTGGTTTGGATTGTAAAGTTTGAGGTGCCTCCAAGGATGGTTTATTTACTGTTAAGAGTTCTTACAAAATCGCTCTCTTTCTTATTAATCCTAAGTCTCGGCTAGGGGTGTCTGAGGGGAGTAGTTTTGATGGCGGCAAGATTAATATGTGGCGCAATGTGTGGTATATCCAAGCACACAGGAAGATTATTTTATTTCTTTGGCAGAGTCTTCATGATCGGCTGCCCATTAATTTATCATTAGCCATTCGGGGCGTTTCAGATTGCTCATCTTGCCCGTTTTGCGAAGGATATGTTGAATCTGTTGACCATTTTCTTTGTGCCTGTCTTTTTGCGAGTATGGTTTGGCTTCACAGTCAGTTAAGAATGGATTTCCAGGGTGTTAATTCCACATTTTGGCCCAAGAGATGGGTCGGCCTCACTGAGCTTTGGTCTCTTTCCGAAAATCTGGCTGAATGTTTCAGTCTTGCGGCATTCATTTGCTGGACCATTTGGAAATGCATAAATGATTTAGTTTTTAAACAAAAGAGGTGGGCTCCTTTTGATCTGGCTCAACAAGCTTTTCATGCCTTTCTTGAATTTCAGGAATGTTCTCGGCAATCTCAGTTATTCTCTTGTCCGCCCTCTCCAATGGTTTCTATTCCTTCAAGATGGTGTGCGCCGGAAGAAGGTTTTCTAAAGCTTAATTTCGACGCATCATATGATTCTTCCAGGAAAGTATGTGGGGGAGGTTTGATTCTTCGCAATCATAGGGGCATCCTATCCAGGTTGCCTCAATTTTCTTTTCGAATGTTGCTGATCCTACTATTGCGGAAGGTTTAATTCTTAGGAAAATCCTTTCTCTTCTAAAGGTTTAGAGCTATCGCAATGTGATTGTCGAGGGTGACTGTCAACCCGTTATGTTTTTGAATGCTTCTTCGGTTGCTTTGCATGTGATTTTCTTTGATGTGCACTCTCTTCTTGAGATGTGTCACGGTGCTTCCTTGGCTTGGGTGCCTTGTGAAGGCAATGGCGTAGCTCACTTATTGAGCAAATGGCTCTTGTAGCCAAGTGTTGTGATTTTGAATGGAGTGTTTGGCCCTAGTGGTTGTTAGACGCTCTTCTTTCTGATTGTATTATTCATCTATCTTAATACATTGGTCGTTTTTTAGAGAAAAAAAAAATTACAATTACAGAGGAAAACATGATGCCCAAATAATAGAGGAAAATATTATAGTTCTAATCTAAAAACTTAAAGAAAATATAAAAAATTAGAGCAGTTATCGGGAAATAAATTAATGATTCACACTATGAAATTATTGGAAAGAGTAATAGAATAAAAATTAAGCCTTTGTTTGGATTGAGGAATTTGAAAAGAAAAGAGAGTATAGTGGAAATTATGTTTGGGTAGCTTTGAGTGGAGAGATGAGAAAGAATTGAGTGAGATTTGGAGGACAACCGAAAAAATCCTTTTAAAAATGAAAAGATTTGAAGGGGAAGGATAGTGGGTTAAGTAGTATTTTCATAATTTCAAAACTATCCTCCTATAACATTTGACTCATATCTTATAAACGGGTTATGATAGTAATTCAAGTGTTATTATTTCTTTTCTTTTCTCTTCTCCACCTTTTTGTAAACAAAAATACTATCATTTCCTCTCTTTTTTTATTTCATAATTTGTCCAAACATAAGAGCATCTCCAATGCCCTCTCAAAGGGCCTCTCAAAGTCAAAATATAGTAGGTGGATGAAAATACCACTAAAAGACCCTCATATTTTGAAATTGTCAAAAGTATTGTCATATATAACAGCTCTCAAAAATATTTGAGAGGTCTTTTTTTTCTCATACAGTACCGTTTCTCAAAATATAGCTTATCAAAATATAGCAAATGGATGAAAATAACACACTCCAAATATCAATTTAGATGAAATGCACCATTAGAGCAGAATTACTAAAATATAGCATTTTGACACTATAATTTCCTCTCAAAATATAACTTTGGTATGGAAAAATAGCATTTTGTATTGGAGATGCTCTAAATAGAGATTATTGCTATCATTTTTTCTTTTCTTTTCTTTTCTCTTACAACGTTGTTCGGTAGGAAGGAAGGAAGGAAGATGTGGGAGAGAAAATAGGAAAGAAGAAATGAACTTCCATTGTTTGGTAAAGATTATAGAAGGAAAGAAAGGAAAATAGAAATTGATCTTTCCTTTCTCCTTTACAAATTTTCATCTACCCAAAAATAGACGAAGAAAGGAGGGAAGACAAGTGTATTATAGAAGTTTTAAATACTATCATAAATTATAAAAGTTTTTAATTACAATATTATCTTCTATAAATTACAATATTATAAATATTATTAGATATAATGGTAAATTAAATCTTTTTTTTTTCCTTCTCTCTACTACCATTGGAAATCATAAACTTATTCTCTCATCTTATTTTCTCTCCAACGGAACAAAAATAAGAACATACATAATCTCTTTTTTAGGAATGTGTTATCCCATCCTTTGTTTTTTTTTTTTTTCTTACCAAACCGGGCATTAAAAAAAAATGTAATGTGACATATAATTCATTTGGATATATGAAAGGAATATTTACCATAGAAGTAATTTACTTAGTAAGATAGTGGAAGATGAAAGATGATAGAGCACCTAGAGATATAATTGGTGGACCTTATGAAAGAAGCATATTACTTTAAGATTTATTTTTTTTTCGAAAATTAAAGCAATTTTCATTGAATAAAAGAATTTACAAAAAGGCCTTTAGGCCCAAAGATGAAGAAAGCAAGCCAAAGCTTGAGACAAGGCTAGGAACAAGCCCAACAAGGAAACATTACAAGGCTGAGAACAAGCCCAACAAGGGAACATTACAACCCAGGAAGTAACTACCAGTAACTGCAATAGCCATTGATAAAGGCTAAAAAACAATCCGGTGACATTGCAGCAGCGGCAAACCGCCGCGAGTTAGTCCGGTGGACGAGGAGGGGGTCTGCAGTAAGACGGAGAGAGGTTCCAATCCATTAGGATAGATCTGGAAGAGGAGCAGTCCCGGAGGCATCCCAATTTCAAAATTGAAGAGATGGTAGAACATATCTTCGAGCATACAATCCTTTGAGAGGCCACCTTCCTTTTGAAGATTCTGGCTTTCTCTCCTCCCAAGTATGATATACTAAAGCTGAAAACCTTAATTTCCTGTGCAGATTGACTGAGGTATTAGCTTTCCATTGAATACTTGCCCATTGAACTAGAGATTCCCAGCTCCTAATAGCTATGTGGATGCTGCACCTGTATTTGATAAAATGCCACAAAGGAGAGGTAAATGGGCAGTTTAAGAAAATGTGGTCATGGGATTCGGTGGACAAGTGACATAGAGGGCAAATATTGGTATGGCTTGACATAGATTTACTATCTAGTGTTGGCAATTTGGATTGGACTGCTAACCAAAGGATGAACTTCATTCTAGGAATAGTTGGGGATTGCCAAACAAGGTTGTGCCATGGAACATTTGGGAGATCCCTTACCAAATAAGAAACTGTGTGGCTGAATGAGTACTGTCCTGTAGGAGAAGCAATCCACCTTTTGGTGTCCCTTGTAGATGAATTAGGTGCAGGAAGGTTGGCCAATTCTGGGATAGCATTAGTGAGGAAGATGGGAAAGGCCCAGTTGTTGTTAACAATGAAGTTGTCCACTGTTATATCTTCATGTAATCCTCCCTCAGACATTAGTGACCTTGGGAACCTTAAGGATAGAGGACCCCCTGGAGCCTAGTTATCCCACCAGAAAGTAATGTCAACCCCATTGCCAATAAAATGCTTGATGAGACCCCTTGCAGTATGTCTTAATTGCAGTATTTTTCTCCAACTCCAGGAGCATGGCTGAGGGAAGTTAAGAGTCCACATGTTCCTAGCTTTGAGAAGGTGGGAATGGCACCAATTAACCCATAATCTGTTGGAGTTGTCTGTTTGTAGATCCCAGATGAATCTCAGAATGCCTTGTTAGCTATTTCCAAATTAGGGATCCCCAACCCCCTTGCAGGTTTAGGAGAACATACCTTGCCCCAAGCAACCTTCGAACCTGAAGTCTTTAATTCTGGTCCAGACTAGAGAAATCTTTTGAAAATTTTATTTAACTCATCAATTACCCCTTTAGGAAGGATGAAGATGTTGCACCAGTAATTTTGGGTAGAGACAAGCACAGACTTGATTAATTGCAGTCTACCTGCATAAGATAGAGACCTTGATGTCCAGTTAGTAACTCTGTGGGTAATCCTGCTTACCAGTAAGCTACAATGCTGAGCTTTAAGATTAGTAGAAATGAGGGGCACTCCAAGATATTTCACTGGGAGAGTTGCTGCCTGAATGCCAAGTAGATAAGAGATCTCATTTTAAGTGTGATCATTAACTCCTGAGAAATACACTGCACTTTTAGAAAGGTTGATGTCATGTCTAGACATAGAACAGAAAAGATCAAGTGCTGACTTTAGGACTGAAACTGAACAAATATCTCCATGGCAAAACAGAAGTAGGTCATCAGCATACGATAGGTGAGTGATTTTTTGCTCTCTGCACCTCCAGTGGTACTTGAAGGATGAAACTCTATTCACATAATTAGTGATGATTGAAGAAAAAGCATACATAACTAAGACAAACAGGAATGGGGAGATGGGATCACCTTATCTTAGGCCCCTCTTCCCTTTGAAATACCCTTGGAATTCACCATTCAGGGCAATGGTGAAAGATGGGGATGAGATGCAAGCATTAATCAGTGAAATAAACTTGGGAGGGAAGTTATGCAATGAGAGAGAATTAATAATGAAGTCCCACTTCACTGAATCAAAGGCCTTCTTGAAGTCCACCTTGATTGCACATCTTGCAGGAGTGCCATGCTTGTGATACCCTCTTAGTAACTCATGTGCTAGTAGTATAGGGTCTGTAATCTTTTTGCCATGCACAAAGGCAGATTGGGCTTGATCAATGAGGAGTGGCAGTGTGGATTGAAGCCTAGTTGCAAGAAGTTTTGAGATACACTTGTAGATGGTGTTGACACATGAGATAGGCTTGTAGTCATGAAGAGAGGTTGGATTCTGGCATTTTGGTACCAAGGAAATGTATGTATTGTTGACCTCTGCTAGGAGCTTTCCATTCCTGAAGAATTCTGAGATTGCTTTGATAATAGTCCTTCCCACAATATTCCAACACTTTTGAAAGAATAAGGCATTGTAGCCATCTGGACTCGGAGCTCTATCCTTATTAAGCTTCAACATACAGCTTTGAATCTCCAAATTAGATGGTGGATCCTTAAGGAAAGAGTGCATACTGGTGGGGACAACCTTGGAGATAAATAGAGCTAAGTTAGAGATGTGGTGAGTGGGAGGGGGAGATTGACCAAGCAAGGATTGGAAATGATTGACCACTTGAATTTTAATATCCTCCAAATCATGAATCATCTGACCATCATCAAGAGTTAAGGAAAAAAAAATTTCTTAAGATTCAGAGAACGTATTTAATATATGTACAGAGATACATTAATTACATAATTAAAGTTTTCATCATCATATGTGCGGAGAAAAGGGTGGGACTGGAGGGATAAGTGTCTAAAATATGTCCTGTAGTCCATATCCAAATCACAAAATAAGATATTAAATTTGAGAACAATTCTAATCATATGTTACACGACGTGTGTCTGATACCGCCATAACATTTTAATAGAAGTGTTCACGCCTCATAGGCCCAATATTTAAATCTTTAGCCAAACATGATATCTTTAAAGGGTCAAGTGCATCAAATATTCTTATAATATGCCTACAGTGTGTATCATAAACATTCTTAAAGTTTAAATTTGGTACAAATAGGTCCCTCCTAACATATTTAAGTTATAGGTTAACTAAATTTTCCTTATATACAAATTTTACATATTATTTTAAAATGCATCATTTTATGAAATGACGAAAATGATCATTTAGTACGCGAGAGGTGTAATACGTAATATAAGCATATTATAGGGGTGTTTTCTGCACTTTGTAAACTTTGTTGTTTTGAATATTTCGATCTTGACGGTTAGATTTAATTGAAACATAATTTTATCGCGATTTGAATAATATGATGAAGGTAGGTGATTGAATACTCATTTGTTTGTTTGTATTTTTCTCAATAAAGATTGAATACTCATTTGTTGCTTTGTATATATATATATATATATTTGTGAAAATATATAGAGAAAATATTTTTTTTCAAAAAGGTGAGAAAATCCTTAAAAGTGAGTTAAATATAACTAATGTGCACATAATACTCCTATGCTATGAAATTATTAGCATACGCACTTCCTTGGGCATTTTGGGAAGAATAAAAAAAGCAAAACGAGTATTTCAGCATTCTTTTATGGCTGATTTTTTATTGAGGGATGTTTCTGCACAATTTTAAAAAAATATGAATGTTTTTCGCACATTTTTTTAAATAGGAGGTGAAAGTACTACGCTGAGTATCCATTAGGACTATTTTCTGCCCCCTATATTTAAAACCAACCTTGGAGAATAAAGATTATAGGAAACTTGAAATCTACAACCTGATAAAAAATAAATATATAAAAAATCAAATCTACAAGTTTATTTCTAACACTGCGAGGTTAGAAGGGCAATTTGGCAAAAGGACAATCCTATCCTACATGATATAATATAGCATATGTTATGTGTATTGTATTATGTGGCACGATATATGATATTCTCATATTATCAGAATGTTTTTTCTTCATTCTTGTCTTCTTATTTCCTCTCTCTCCCTAATCTTTGTCTCAATTTCTCTAATTATTAACAAAATTTATATGCCGAATGGATCAATTAAAATTTTAGTATAAACTCAAATAAGTCATAATAAACAACCCGGGCAAACTCAAATAAGTCTTATAGATGCTTAATAAATCCCAAAAGTTAGAGGTTGTTTGGTTCAGTCTTTTCAAAATAATTTTCCGTTCACGTAGAACTAGAAAGCAAAAAATTACTAGTATATGATTGACAATTTTCTTTTTTGAAAATTGAATTAAGAAAAGGTCTACTTTTAAAAATAATCATTTATAATTCTCTAAAAGAAGTTGTATGTTTCAAAAGTTCCTAAAAACTGAATCAAAATATGTCCTACAATTTTATTTTATTTTATTTATTTTTGTTTTCATTTTTATTTTCGGTTTCGTTTTCATTTTCGGTTTTGGTTTTGGGAAGGTAGTATGTCCTAGAATTTCATTAGGGTTTGTCCATCAGGTTGGTGGAACCATATCATGTGCCATATATTCTTATATTCACATATAATATTATAGGGTAAAGCGCCAAAAAAAAAAAAAAAAAAAGTCAATCCTGAACTATATCCAATTTACAAATGTCTCTTGAAGTATATTTTGCACATAATATTTCCTAAATTATCACATTTTGTTGCAAAATATCCTAATACCTAGACTATTTTTAATTAAATGACCATAATGCTCTTTATTATTGAATTGTACTTAATCTATTTTTCTTATTAAAATAAATTATGAAAAAAAAAAAATCGTACTAATTTGATGACATATTTCCCATTAAATTTGCATAAATTTATCTTTAATTATTTAATAAAATTCTTAAGTAGAAAATTTTAAAACAATTTAAGTAATTTCTTAATTTTTCATTAATATATTGTATTACAAGGAAGGTATTTTTTATTTAAGCAATTTATTAAATTTTCATGAATACATTGTATGAAAAATAAGGCATTTTTTACGGTAAAAAAGTTTAAACGGAATGTAATTATTTTTAGGGGAATATATTCGTACTCTTTTTTATCCAGTTGCACTCCATTTACCTTTTTTCTTTTAAAGGAAATAATAAGAAAGTTCTTAAATTCATTAATGTACCATCACTTAATTTTTAATGTCATAACTACTCTTTATACAACTTTAACCTTTTTTTTTTTTTTTTTACCTTCTTTACTTTCCTTACTATTTATTTTTTCCTTTCTAATTATATAGTTTTTTTCGAAGGTCCTCTCAAAGAAAATAATTTATTTAATACTAATAATTTTATTTTTGAGATAATTTATTCCATAATGAGTCTATTTTTTTTTTTTGGGTACAATGAAAGGGATATTTATTTAACAAAGTTAACTTTTTTTCAGTCCTATTAAAAGAGATAATTTATTCAATAGATATAATTTTTTTTAAATCCTCTTCTTTTCGTACTTTATTTTGGAATCTTGACCAAAAAAAATAATTTCTTCAATACATATATTTTTGGGGGGTTTTAATTTCTTGTCAAAAGAGATTAAAAAAAAAAAAAAATTTGGTAAATAAAAGAGATAATTTTTTTAATGGTTACGTTTTATTTTTTTTTGTTCCGGTCAAAAAAGGCAATTTATTCAACATAATTTATTTATTTATTTTTTTTTGGTCCTGTAAAAAAAATTTATTCAAATTATTTTATTATTATTATTTTTTTTTTTTTGTATTGTCAAAATATTCATTAAAGATTAGAGATAAGGAGAGTAAATTTAAAAGGACAGTTGTGTTATTTAAAAAATTATTATTATTTAGTTGTAAAATTAGGGTTAGAATTGCCATTTCATTTAAGATTGTAGTGCAAATGTTAAAAAATGGAGTACGGATATCGTCTCCCTAATTTTTATTATAAATAGTAAAGTTTTAATAATAAGTTAATTATTTAGAAAATGTTAGTCACAAATCTTTTTTTTTTTAATTTATTTATTTATCATTTTTATGATAAATTGATAATAATAATAAAATTAAGGTAAATGGTATAATTAATATCTAGATAAGAGAAAAGATAATAAAAATAATTTAATAAGAAATGACAAATTTAATAAAAAAAAAGGTAAAATAAACTTTGGTTATAGGTTTGTCCTTAATCGTAACAAATCAATAGTTCAAGGGTAATTTGTAGATCACCCAGAAAAAACACAGCTAAAAAACATTGAACTATTTTATTGAACACATATAATGAGACATACCTCCATACAAAAACTTTGCTTTATTTTTTTATTTTTGAAACTGCCAATTGCTACAATTATCAAGATTAATCATTTAGACTGTTCATTTTTTTTTTTATTATTATTATTTGATAAGTCTATCCATTATTTCACCAACTTCTCAACCCATTCCGAAAATTTCATTATAAACTATAGCCTTTCATGCCTCATGGCAAGCCTCAAGCCAACACCAAAGCTACTGGAGTCCTTTATATCTCCAAAAAGTGTGAGTATATTTTAATGTATTGTCAGTGGTTTTCTTCAAGGCAAAGCTTCAGAAAAGAGAAAAAGAAGAAAGAGACCTGCCTCTTAATAAATAAATATAGTCATGATACACACAGGCAATTATTCCCGCTCATCCTCATAGAAGAAGTGTAACTCCACTGGAAATAATAATTTCACCACTACAAACATTGACCTGAGGTTGGAGAAGTTGGTACCTTCTTTGTACTCGTCTCGCAAGAAGTCTCGTCTATTTGGTTCGTAGACAACGCAGTTGGAACGCATTCAACATGTTCCGAACTTGGAAGATTCTACCTGCTCAAGAGTTAAATAAATAAATAAAGGTATATAAGAATTTTCAATATTTCACCTGCTTTACAAGATAACTAATGGTGGTGCAGAGAAAAAAGGTAAAAAGAACTAAATTTAAAATCATGGACGCGCAGTATTTTGAATGAAAATACTGTGCGCACTGATTACGTGATTGCATGACAATTGAACTGCATTTAAAATTCATATATAAGAGGATTGCATGACAATTGAACTAAATCAATAAAACCAAAAGAAAAAAAGAGCAAATTTCAATCTTACAGCACTGATACACGGGATATAAATTAAGACTTGTTTTTAACCACAAAGCAAGAAGAACAATTTAATTCCTATAGATTGAATTGCAATAATCTAAATGACATTTCAGCAAGATGAGATTTGTGTCACCTACTCACAACGAAAAATAAACAAACATATGTTATCAATCAATCACTCCTTGAGGTTAGACTTATCTAATTGCAGCCTTACCATTAAAATGGATTCAGATCCTTCTATCTGAACTGACCTTGCTTACAAAATAATCAAGCGGACAATCTGCCCCAGAAACCGAAATGCCTTGGTCGCTTCTCTTAAACATTTGTTTCTCTCATCTCGAGACCAGTGCTGCAACAAAAATTACACATGTAAAACAGATGATTATATTATTAACTTGTCTCCACAAAATTCCAATGCAAGTCAAATGGACATAGTGCATGGTAGTCTCAGGCATTAACCTCTCCAAGCATGTTGAGCTTCTCTCGCACACCTCTCAGTAATTCTTCCGTATTCCCGTCCCATCTGTAAAATTCCAGCTTCCTTCCTTCTAAGAGTTTTTCAGAGACCTAATAGCAACATATTAAACAAAAATAAAAAAAAGTTGGGGGAAATCCTCTTGCTATATTAGCTTACTGGGAAATATTTATTAATCAAAAAGCTTTTAGGCAGCCTCATTTTTTCAACTTAAAGACAGTTTTATCTATGAAAGGATTCAAGGCCACTCATCCACGAACAGGTGTAGATAAATGACAGGTAATAATCATATCATTACGCAAGGGCAGAAGGGATTAAAACTATATCTAAACGCACCAAAGGAGAAGGTTCTATCGATCAAAATTCCAAATTGAAAATGGATGTAAAGGGAAAATTGCAATTTTTCCTCCATTAAGACTGCATACTCAACCCAGTAATAAACAGAATGGGCGAAACCTTTTCCATCCTCGTAATATCACGTCCCTGCCTTACTTGACTTGTGGATGGCTGTAAACCTAATTCATTATGTTCAACCATTCTAACATTTCAAGCCATAGTGGTCTTAAATTTCTGATTTTTCATGTCTTTTAACAATACTTCTACACATGTTTTGCTTTAACTCTTCATATTTTTGAGGTAAAATTTCCAGCACATAGGTCTCAAGTGAAGAAACAAGAAGTATGTTCCGTAGTTCAACAAACGTAAGGTATGCAAAGAGCAGGACCATCTACGGAAGTCAAGTACTTCTCTTTTTTATTATATTTTATTTCTTTGTTATTGAGTCCTTATTGCCCACTATCAATAGAGTATATGGGGAGTGTATAACAAGGTGTTGTTTGTTAATACCTCCTCTACTTAAGGACCATAAAAGCTTCAAGGCAGGAACTTCACATTCTCAGTGATTCAGGCAAGAATTCTTCTAAAGCTCCAAAGTTCAAAGTGGTTGCACTATAAAAATTTTTAGAGACTCATACATAGAAATTCACAGTATCTATCAGAAAATTGTTAAAATATAGATCAGCAACTATCATGACACAATTTACAAGAAGATGACATATTTTGAGATGAAAAAAAAAAAGAAGTAAAATAAGCATCCAAACTAAAACACTGAATCACAAGCACTAATACTAATATGATAATGTCACGTACCTGTTTTGCAATCACTTGACCACCGGCTATGTGTGAAAAGTATATATTGTAGAAGTGGGACAGAAATAATGGGGCACTCTTCTCTGCAAGTTCCTCCAAATATTTGACATAAGTAACTCCAGGATTACTAGGTGGTGGGATCACAATATCCTGCTGGCTAAACCAGTCTAGATCTTTTGAAAGACCTCTTGAACGTTCTAGTCCGGTTTTTCTGAAGTAGGCATCTGTAGGCAGTAATAATTGTAAGACACTCGTGAGATTTGACAAGAATCCCATATGGAGACATAAAACAAGATACATACAATGTCTATACATTCATATCATTATTTGACTTGATAACCAACTCATAATACCAATATGATTGATGAGACAAAAATTCCATCTTCATTGTTAGCACCTTGTTTTTGTTCCTTAATCCCTTGTCTATAGGGGCGGATATTCCCAGTGTCACTTAGTTTGGATGTGATAAGTGATAAACTGCTGGTTCCCAATTTAATCTAAAATGCAAAATTTGAAAACTTCTTGAATAGACATAATGGATTGTGAATAAGCTCTTGCTGCATTTATTAATCGAGTTCCACTTGCAACTTAACTCATCATTTTGAATTTTGAAAATTGAATTATAAAGACCAAAGTGTGAAAATAAATACAACATGGAATGCATTTATGCCAGAATGTGGCATAATAGGCAACCTCTAAATGAATAATGAAATAATGAATACTTAGAATCATATGAAAATTACACTGAAACTGTGTTTGATATTATGAAATTTGTGTCTTGAAATTGGAATTGAAGTAAAACTGGTTTGAAACTTGAACTGATACAGTCTTCAATTTCAATTCTGAAATTCGGATTCCATGCTACCAAATTCAGTGTCATTGTAAATTCCTCCTAGTATTTATTTTACTAGCTTGGTTAACAATCATGATAAGTAAATTCCTCTATACCAATTCAAATATCAAGATGGCTCAACAAAAAGATAATACCTATGAAGAACAACAAGAACAATAAAGAGGCACGTGAATAGAATAGGAAAGGAAGCTTACAGGACACATCATCAGACTGGTCAACGATGCGCTCCACTGTGTCGAAGACGAGCTTGCTATCAACAAGGTACTTGAGAAACCCTTCCATGGTGGGTTGCCAGATCTCTCCACCATTACCACCACCACCTCCTTCTTCTTCTTCTTCCACATTCGAAATCGACCCATCATTGCCGTCAAAATCATCATCCTCATCACCACTATCGCTCTCAATTCTCTTGCCTTTGGTGTTACGGAGTCTCATGGCGACGAACCTCATCTCTTCGGTTATGCCCTTCTTCTCCCCTGGGTATTGCTTCCTGTACCTCCTCCTCTTCCTCTTCATCGGCGGAGCGTTCGTCATCGCCGCCAATTCCGCCTCCTCCAATGGCGGCGGTGATGTTGTGATGGAAGTACCGGAATTGGAGCAGCAAGAAATAAAGGGTTCATTTCGGACAATGCTTAACTTTCTTTGATTCAAATGTTGACTTGTTTTGAGCGTGAAATCGGAGAGTGAGAGAGTGGGATTGAATTGGAATTGGAATTGGAAAGAGAGGGAATGTGTCACAGTCATTGTATTCTCCACTGAAAACCCTCCTCCTAGTGTTGGTGAAGGAGAAGCACAGTACCAGGAGTATGAATTGGACATTGATGTTTTTTCTCTTCTTTTCAAATCTCCTTTCCTTTCCTTACCTGCTTGACCAACTAGAGTGGAAACCAGAGGTGTCTTATATTTAGCCCCAAATCTCTATCTCAATTAAAAGAGGGGTTATAAATAATAATGACATGTATGATGTACCTCCTTCCAATATCTATGAGTTATTTTATTTTATTTTTATTTTTTATTGTTAATCCATAGTTAATTTACTTACCGTATGAAAATGAATGTTATATGGATTATATAGTTGCATGAAAAAAAAAAAAATTATATAGTTACATTTAATATCAACATATATTTACAGTTGGTCAATATCAGTCAACTTCTAAATTCTTGTTCTTTCCAACAAAAGGTTTTTAATATATATTTATATAAGTTAATTGACGATGATTACAGACGATCAATCATTTTTTTTTTTTTTTTTTACATTCTATAATACTGTCCACTTTGGGTTATACTGATGATATTATTAGCTTTGGCTTCATTTGAATACTAGAGAGAAAAGAAAGGATTATGAAAGAAAAAAAAAAATAGATATAATTTATATTCATGTTTGGATAAATAGAAAAGAAAAAAAAGGAATGAATAATATTCTTGTTTGGATAACAAAAAGGAAAAAAAAAAAAAATGAATGAATAACAAAAAGTAAAAAAAAAAAAATGAATGAATAATAATTAAATTATCATCTTACCTTTTTTTGTAGGGTTAGTAGGGCAAATCATTTCCCCAATCGCCTCCTTATTTATTTATTTATTTTGAAGCAATTTACTAAATTACGTTCACCTTTGTCAAATCACAATTTGCTTTTAGCTCCCTTTATCTCTATAAATAAATAGATGATTGTAGATATAGATATATAAATATGTGCCTGTAGATATAAAACTCTCTCTTAAATATATGCCTGTAGATATGTAACTGCAAACTACAAAATCTACAAGAATCAGAAGTTCAAAAACCATATATTTAAGTTTATCTATCTGTCTGCACAAGAATCAAAAGTTCAAAACCTATTACCTATATCAAAACCCATATCGGCGTATCATTTTAGATTGTTCAAAAAATCAAAACCTATATTTATCAGTTTCCATCGCCCACTGTTCCAGTTCGGGTTCGCCGTTCGCAAGCTTCAGCCGCTAGCCCGTTGTCACTTAACTCTCAATCTTGCCCCCTCTCTCTCAAGGCTACTTTTGTCATTAGCTTCAAATCCCTCCACATCTTGTCAATTTTAAAGGGATACAATATGAGGATTTGGAGGGATAGTATCATTTCTTGTCTATTATATTTTTTTCCATCCAAATACACTAGTCACTATCCTTCCCTTTCTTTTCTCTCCAAATCCCTCTAAATCCCTCAATCCAAACGAAGCCTTTGGGTCTGATTCTGCACAGATTTTATTTTTATGTTTTATCAAAAGGCCTCGTACCATTCTAAGTGATGTGAGATTGTGTAACGTGTAAACATCCTCGTTCGCCACACTTCTGTCTAGGCTATTACTATGATACCATTTTTTACAACCTAAATTGTGGCAACCTATGTGGGCGAGTGTGATGTGGGGGTGCAAATAATCACTGGGTGAGTTACCACACTCACAAGCTACATGTTGCACAACCCTACATTGCTTCGTAAGGTAAACATAAAGTATTTACATGTATTAGTTACATCTCCAAATGGTATGAGACCTTTTAGTAAAATTCAATAATAAAATTATGCGGGCTCAAGCCTAAAGCGAATAATATCATACCATGTTATGGGGTGGACTGTTAAAAATGGCATCAGAGCCTCACCCAGCCGAAATTGTGCTAACGAGGACATCGAGCCTCTTCGAGGGTGGATTATGGCGATCTTGGGGGCGGGTGTGAGGCACTGGCAAGCTACCATGCTAGCAGGCTATTGGTATACGATCCCACATCATCTAGGTACGGAAAAGGTAGGATTGGTAATCTTTAAATGGTATAAGATCTTTCAGTATAAAATCTAAGAACAAAACTATGCGGGCTAGGCTCAAAGTAGTGGTGGAGTGGATTGTTACATATACAATTTTATTTTAAGATATTTTGGCACAAGTGTTTTAAATATTTATATATTTATTTACTGTAGTACCATGTGTTGATATGATCATGTAAGATGTTTAGTATTAAAAAGATGCAATGATTTATAGTAGAATTCAAGACAACTATTACGATGAGGTGCATCTCATGATCGTTTTTAATATTCTACATGTGTATTTCTATTCCTTTCTTCTCTGTTGCCATCAATGGTGAGATGTGTGGCTTTATCAACTATAATAGAGGTATTAGGTAAGGAACCCTCTCTCTCCATACATCTTTATTCAGTGTATGGAAAGTTTAAATGGCTTATTCTCTCAGCAAGTTAGTAAAGATAATTTTGGTTTTCATTGGACATGTGAGGAGGTGAACCTTACTTACCTATGCTTTGCTAATGATTTATTTGTTTTCACTGATGGATCTACTCAATCTGCTAGAATAGTTTAATTTATTTTCTAAGTTTTTTGGTTTATACCCTAGTGTCTCTAAAAGTGGAGCATTCTTCAGTGGCATTCCCAAGTCTAAGAAAACTTATATCTAGAACACTATGAGCTTTACTGAGGGTCTCTTCCTGTCATGTACCTTGGAGTGCCTCTCTTAACAACGAAACTTAAAATAAATGACTATAGAGAGCTTTTGAAAATGATAATTGTCAAAGCTAGGAGCTTTTAATTGGCTCTCCTATTCTAGTAGACTTCAGCTATTTAAGTCCATCCTTTTCTCTATACATGTGTATTGGTCTTCTATGTTTATTCTGCCAAAGATAGTTGTTGATTTTGTCAATCAGACTTTAATGAGACTCCTTTGGAAAGGTTCATCTCTTGACAAAGTTGGCTATAAGGTTCCTTGAACTGATATATGTGCCCTTTATCTTTGAAGGTGGGCTTGGGGTTAAGGACCTACATGCTTAGAATATGGCTATATTTTGTAAAAACATATGGATTTATATTTATCTTTTTAGAGAGAAGAACTTTTGGGATGTCAATATTCCTGCCTCACCCTCTGGTGCTGGATGCGAATGTTGTTACTTAGAGAGTCTCTCAAACTCCCGTTCAAATACACCATTAAGTCCCTTTATTGTATGATCTATGGCTCCCTGTGGTGCTATTGGTAGTTCTAAGGGACACAAAGTTGTCTATGAGTCTTGGATCCCGAAAGAAGCCAAAGTTGCTAATATTCTTTCAGATATGGGTTGGTGTTGAAAGCTAAAGCTAAGTCTTAAAGAGAAGAAGAAGGAGAATAATTGATTGTATCTATTATTTCATATTCCAAAAGGATTATTACAATAGGTATGTACAATATTATCCAGAACACAAAATAAAGAAGGTGGTGGGTGAGTGCAAAGCAAGAAATGTATCTAGACATATTGTGTGTCTATATAAATACACTGTGTGTAAAATATGAAAGTTATAATCATATCCCTAAATAAGGAATTGTTGACTACGAGTTGTATTCAAAACTCTCCACCTCAAGCTGGACAGTAGATGTCAACGACTCCTAGCTTACTGCAAATAGAATCAATAGCATGCTTGGAAAGAGCCTTAGTAAAAATATCTGCTAACTGTTTACCAGACGATATGAGTAGAGTCACAATTTCTTTGGAAGTCAACTTAAAATGAATGAAAAGACAATCAACCTCAATATGTTTGGTTTGCTCATGGAAAACCAGATTACTGGCAATGTGAATAACTGCCTGGTTATCGCAATAGAAAAGAGATGGGTCTTAAACAGAAAGCCCGAATTCTTGTAACAGAGTTCTTAACCAAGTTAGCTCACAGGAAGTGTGAGCCATTGCACGGTACTCAGCTTCAGCACTTGATCGCGCCATAACTGACTGCTTTTTACTTTTTCAAGTGAGTAAATTGCCTCCTATGAAAGTATAGTAACCGGTCGTTGATCGTTTGTCTAAAGGAGAACCTGCCTAATCAGAATTAGTATAACCCTCGATACCCAAATATCCAAATGACTGATAAAGAAGACCACAACCCGGAGTTCCTTTGAATGCCTAAGAATCCATAGAACTGCTTCCATGTGAGGGACTCATGGGCTGGCCATAAATTGACTTACAACGCTAACTGTATAGGCAATATCTGGTTGAGTAATAATTAGATAAATCAGCATACCTACAAGTCGTCTATACATCTCTGGATCATCAACCAAGTCACCAACATCAGGAAATTGCTCAAGATTAGTCTCCATGGGTGTTGCAGCAGGTTTAGAGCCAAGATAAACTAGTATCCTTTAAGATACTGCAGGTTTAGAGCCAAGATAACTAGTATCCTTTAAGATATCAAGAGTATATTTTCTCTGAGATAAACAGATGCCTTTCTTTAGTCTTACAACCTCAATACCAAAAAAATAGCAGAGCTTGCCCAAGTCTTTAGTGAGAAAATTCGAACCCAAATGATGAATCACGGTCTGAATCCCCTTATTGTCACTCCCAGTAATGACGATATCATCCACATAACCACCAAAATTATAATGCCACGCTTTCTCTTTTTAAAGAAAATCGAATGATCAACTTGGCTTCTAGTCATGCCATTTGCAACCACTCCCTTGCTAAATTTATCAAACCATACACGAGGTGAATGTTTGAGTCCATAGTCATGTCATGAGTAACCACTACCTTGCTAAATTTATCAGACCATGCATGAGGTAAGTGTTTGAGTCCATAAATAAACTTCTTAAGGTGACAAACACACTCTCCCTTGGACTCAAACTTAAGAGGTTGAGCTGTGTATACTGTGTTAGTAAGATCGCCGTGAAGAAAAAACATTTTTTTCATCAAGTTGATGGAGAGGCCAGTCAAGATTGGCAACAAGAAAGATAATTATATGAATGGAGTTCATCTTAGCCACGGGAGAGAGTCTTAGTATAGTCAATACCATAGGTCTGTGTGAAACCCTTTGCAACAAAGCGAGCCTTTAAATGATCAACAATGCCATCAAGATTTTGTTTCACTGTGAAAACCCAACGATAACCAACAAAATGAGCACCTGCAGGCTTTGGCAGTAAATCCAAGTATGATTCAATTATAAGGCATGCAT